TATCTGAAACAATAGCATAAATAGCATCTCATTAAATGACATCTCATAATAATAGCTATCAATATATCAAATGCATGTACAGTACAGGTAAGTGAGTCCCACTTTTTTACTGTTATATCAACTTTTTAATGCTTTTCTCTCTCATCATTCAATTGGGGGAAAACTTTATACAATTTGATTGCAAACTAATAAATTGTGATTTCATTGTCACCAAAAAGTTGGCTCAAAGTGTAATTCATTTAATAAATATGTGATGAAATAGTTGTCTCATAACATCTCTGACTCCCACTCCCTCTCATCCGCTCCGTAAGTGTCACTCGTTTTTTGCTTACAAACTGTAGTCGTATTCAAAACATAGGTATCAATCAAATACCCATACATTTATAATAATATGATTCACTCTTCACATGAATAACGTTTTGCCCCCGAATATCAAATATTATTCACTCAAGTCTTATGGTTTGCAAAGTTTGTACAAAAGGGCACATATTTTCCGTACAAATAATGACATTATTTATAGTATAAAAATGAGTACAACTTTATCGGGAAATTGAGTTTTGTGTATAAAAATGCAAACATTGAGCTCTCATTGGTTCGCTTGTTATGCGGTTACTTAGCAACACATTATATTTCAATACACATAAACCATTGCTCGTAAACAGCGTTACAGTTATATATGGTTAAAATGCCCCCTCATATGGGCGGTGGACCCCCTCTACTAATGACACCGCTTTAATTCACACCATTTTCAATGCGATAGAAGAATAAAATTAGTTTTAGTTTTAATGCAATTAACAAATTGTGAGATTAATTGACATAAATATATAGAGAGATGAAAAGCCGACTCACCCTTGCCTTTGATGTCTATATACAGACTTTACGAGTGAATCATTTGCCAACCGATGGGTCTGTGAGTAGTGTTTTGTGAACTGACTTTTGAGTGAAAGACTCAACACATCTATAAAAGTCATAAAAGACTCCGATTTTGGAAACAAATGTTTTTTAATGAATTCATTGCTCTTTAAGTCAGTGTTTATTAATTAATTGATTCATTGATTCATTCAATTGATAAACAACTCGTTGTCTGAATCGCAAAGCGTTTGACAATTGGTTTAGTTTTGGTACCAATAAGTGAATGATTAGATTGAATGCAAAACAACTGGTGTTTGCATTGAGTGACCAAAAAGATGTCTAAACTCTCGGTTGGGATCAATGTTGACATTCAAAGGACTAATGGTATGTAAAACAAGTGGTGAATGCGTGATATGATTATACGGTGTACTCATCGGTGATGTATTGATAGGTCGGATCCACTCAGCGGTGATTAGTAATATCGATTGGAAGAGCCGGAGTGTGACCGTCGAGTGGTCCGAATCGGATGAGATCAAAGGCAAAGAGGTTTGACATCCATATGATTAGTGAATGCGTCCACACGTGTTGTCTCACACTCTTTGGTCCTCTATTTTCAGATCCTAAAGCTCAGGTAAATACATAACTTAGGGTTAAACTGCCTTTGCGGCTGGGTTAGCCAGCCACCCTAAGGGGCCAAAGTAAGTGTCAAATGATTTGTTTTAATTGTTGTTTTTGTCCAACACTTCTTACAAACCTTTAAGACATGTCTAAGAAATGAATATCTTTTTCTTTGAACTCTAATCCCTTTCGCAGACAAACATTGAAAACGAGGTATTCTTTGAGTTCTTATTTTTATTGATTTTCAATTAACTTTTTTTGTTTTTCATTAGTTATTGATTTTCTTATTAGTTTAGAAATACTTTTCTTGATTGAGTGAAAACTAAATTTTGAATACTTGCTGAACAGATAATGCCTGTGCGGGCGTCGGGTATAACCGCTCCGGTGACCAAAGGCTCTTTGCGTGTCCGACAAATTAATACCCGGCAAACGATGGCCAATGGAAATGGCGTGGCTTTAGAGCCGCTGCCAGTGGTGTCTTCATCTGCTAATCACGTGAATGCCTCGAATAAGTCAGCGGTGATAACGACTGCCAAAGATAAAGTAAGTGTCAGAAGCCATAACACACGGCGTGGATGTGAATAAAGCGATAGACTATTACCTGAAAGGTGTGGACACGAGTAGTACACCGGCTCTGAAGCGAGCGTTTTATCAATATTTTGGCGATTTATTCATGAAATATCCGACATATGAGTTCACCCGACAAATGGCCACAACTGTTGGCAATCGGCATAACATATACTTCTATGAACTCTCATATCAGAGCCAATACTTAGCCAAAAAACTCGGGTGCGATGACAAGGATGCGGGTGTCGGACACGCGATGATTATACCGTTTGTCTTCGGGAAACCTATTGTTGGACATAATGTCGACAAATACAATGAAACCGATCGTCAGTTCAGTCGTGATGTGATGCGGATGTGGACTAACTTTGCGAAATACGGGTAAATGTTTTGTGTGATTAAACAATTAAATATAAATGTCAATGTTTTTGCTATATTTAAATTATGAATTTTTTATGTGAATTTTGATAGCAAACCGGACGACAAATGGCCGCAACTGTTGAGTGATCCGAATGTACCAAAAGTGAAGGATTTAAACCCCGACCCAAACCGACCCCCACTTCACGACCCGTACGCTAAACACTATATCAACTTTTGGCGATCATATTTTACATAATATTTAATTCATATAATAAAATTTATAATATAAATAAATAAATTCATCTATATAATTACAAATAAATGAATAAGTAAACCTAAAATCGTTAATATTGATATCATTTTGTAATCAACTAAATCCTATTAGTACTGATGCGTAAGAAAGTCAAGCCTTTACTTATAAGTTTTATATACCGTAAATCATTTACTAACAGTTTTACCCTAATGTTTGACCAATTGCTCTCGATTGTTTAAATAAATTGTTTAATTTAATTAACCATTTAACTTTTATTATTAACCGAATTTTTAAAAATATATTTAAAAGTAAATGACATTATGTTTGTCACTAGTATTCACAGGTGCATAGGAATCTTAACGCTTAATTTGAATTCTCACTGTTTAAAAATGAGCCTGCACAAATAACCGCTCACTATCCGGCTTGTTACTAACTAATAAATAATAAGTAATATTACATTTAATAATAAGTCATCATGATTCATGTATTATTATAATTAAAGGTAATGATATTACATTAGCAATTAAATAATTATTTTCAATTAACTTTTTATGTGTATAAATGAATTATAAACAGTTTAATAAAACAAATATAAAGTTTATAATACTGTACCAATTAATTGTAATTTATTGTAAAATTAAATTAATTAACAAAGACAAATATAGGTTGGGCCATTATAATATAATTATTATATTTTAATGTTTTCAAATATACCACAGTTTTAGCTAAATTACAAAATGACAACAAGTGTTGACGTGAGGACTACATCGGGAACAGTGAGGGGTCGAGTGGTTGTGGCGCTCAACACAACTCTATACCAATTTCAAGGCATACCATACGCTGAGCCACCCATCGGTGCGCTCAGGTTTGCTAAACCCAAACCCATTCAACAGCCCAGAGATGTAAGTTATTATATAATTTATCAAATAATAAACTAAGTTTTATTAACTATTTATAAATTATAAATTTAGGGTATAATAGACGCCACAAAACCGGGAAACAGTTGTATGCAACAAGAAATGGGTTTAATTCCGTTTCCAATCACTCAGAGTGAGGACAGTCTTGTGCTAAACATATGGACACCAACTCTACCCACAGATAACACAACCAATCAGTCACTTAAACCGGTTATGTTTTGGATATACGGCGGCGGATTTACAATTGGGACCATTGATAAATACAACGGCGGACCACTGGCCGCACACGACGTGGTATTTGTGGCCCCGAACTATAGGTTGGGTTACTTTGGTTTTCTATACGGGGATCGGGAGGACGCGCCCGGAAATGTGGGTCTTTATGATCAGTTATTAGCACTTAAATGGGTATTGAATTGATTTCTTGTTTTACATATAAATTATGATTATCAATACAAGTATTAAGTAATAAAATATTATTCAATTTGATTTTATATCGCATAATAATAGGTTAGAGAAAACATTCATTTGTTTGGTGGAGATAAGGATCAGATCACCATTTTTGGTGAGAGCGCCGGCAGTTGGTCCGTATCGGCGCACATACTCTCCCCGCTATCAAAGGGTCTGTTCAAAAGAGCTATTATGTCGAGCGGCGCTCATATGTATAATAAGGACAGGGATGTGATCAGTAAAGATGAAGCCATAGCAGAAGGAAAACGTATTGCCAAAGAGTTGGGTTGGAGTGAAGACATGGATTGGATTCAGTATTTACGGACAGTTGAGGCCAAGGATTTGGTAGATAAGGCCAGAGGAATGACATTCCCGGTGTTGGGAACAGAGTTTTTGCCACTTTCGGCACAAAAAGCTTTCGATAACAATAATTTATATTTTGGTTTTAATTTTTGAAAATTATTATACATGTATTTTTAATATAAATAACAAAACTTATTAATAATTATTATTTAATTCAGACATCGATCTAATGGCGGGCATTACCAGCACTGAGGGCTCAGTTCTATCCAAGCTATATATAGCACCGAATAGAGAGGTTTACACTTTGGATGACTTCTTGTCAGGGGTTAAGGCATCGGACGACATGTTTCACGGCATAGATGTGCACAAATTGACGGCCTATTACTTGAAAGGTGTGGACACGAGTAGTACACCGGCTCTGAAGCGAGCGTTTTATAAATTTTACGGCGATTTATTTATGAAATACCCGACATATCTATTCGCGCGACAAATGGCCACAACTGTTGGCAATCGGCATAACATATACTTCTATGAACTCTCATATCAAAGTCAGTTCTTTGCCAAACACTTTCAATGCGATGACAAGGAGTCGGCGGTCGGACACGGAATGGACTTACCGTTTGTCTTCGGTATACCTCTCTTGACACAAATGGCCGATTCTTTTGATGAAACCGATCGTCGCTTCAGTCGTGATGTGATGCGGATGTGGACTAACTTTGCGAAATACGGGTAAATGTTTTGTTTGGTTAAACAGTTAAAATAAATGTCAATGTTTTGTTTTATTTAAATTAATTTTGAATTTTATATGTATTTTCATTTAATAGCAAACCTGACGACAAATGGCCGCAACTGTTGAGTGATCCGAATGTACCGAAAGTGAAGGATTTAAACCCCGACTCAAACCGACCCCCACTTCACGACCCGTACGGGCATTGCTATGAAAATATTTGGCATGATTATTTTATATAATAACCATGTACCAGAATAAAAAAGAAATTTTATTGTCACACGTGCCCAGGATTAATTACACAATATTGTTATTTATTTTTTCAGTTAAGGTTAATAATTCTTATATTTCTGTAATTTTGGAATTTAAATCAAATATTGTTTAAAAGAGATTTATGTAACAAATTTAACAATTATTTCAGCGATATTTAATTATAATAAAAATGAGCATAGTAATGTTAGAATGTAATAATATTAGTGTATTATTAATTGCATCTTAACAAATTTACAATTAATAAATTATCACACTTAAATTAATGTACACAAACTCAAGTAAAAATATTAAAGTCGATATAAATAAGCCGATAAGCAGGGTAAAAATCAGTCCCTCTATATGTCTGAAATCGAGGTTCTCGTAATCATTTGTGTGGACATCAATTTTGGGATCAAACAGTCTTAAGTGAGCCATTGTTTTGAACGCATCGTCTCTCCAGTGACTGAATAGACCCGACTCTCGGCATTGGATTATACTGTAAATTAAAATATGACTTAAATTCAGCTCTAATTAAATAAATTTTTGTTACAAAAATTAGGAAATAAATAAATAAATACAAAAAATAAAGTATTAATTGTAAAATTAAACTTTGTAACAAAAATCATTTGAAATTCATGAATGTAATAATTGATAATTTTATAACAAAATAATAACCTAGGAACACGATCATAGTATTAAAATTATTTTATACTAACATAGTATTTAAGCCGTTAATTAACGTTGAATTCATACGTTTATTAATAATCAGAAAGTAAGGGGTTTGTCCGCCCCCTTTCCGGGACACATACATATGCCGCAGAATATGAGGTTTGTATCTAAAATGGATGTTAATTATATTGCGAAACATATCGCCACTCATCACATAAGCGTAATGATCTAGGTCGTATTTGGTGAACGTATGATTGATGTAATCATCGCTCAATTGGGCGTCAATTGTATCGATTCTCGGCCTGAAATTGGCTGCCATTTCATTGTCTGTCTCGGTCTCAGAAAAGCTGACTATAATGTTGGCCGGAGTGGTGGCGATCCTCAGGTGTGACCACTTCTGCAAGTCTTCCCACGAGTCGATGTACTCGTAATCCATGGGTTTAATTATGTTATCCAATAGATAACTATTAAACAAAATGGTCAAAAACATTGCCAATAAAAGCCAAAAAATGATCATTTGATTAAACATTAGATTCATTGAGTGAAGAGATTTGGGAATTGAATTTGAAAACAAAACCATAAATAAATTGATAAAATTAATGACAATTCTTGAAGGTTTTGCTTCAATTGTGGTCACAATTACTGATAATAAAGTTATAAAACATATGATTATAATTATAACATTTATATGAAAACAATCAAAGAAAGTGAAATTTGTTTTAATTATGGGAAACACTTTTGAAATGACCACATCGTAATTTCTAATATCTATTTCTCGGCTTAAAATGCAGTTTTCTGCCACAGAGTCCAAGAAGTCGACGATCAGGTTAAATGACTTAGGTTGTATTTCATATAACAAGGCGTCGGGCAATGGTTTGTTCATTACATCCATCATATTTGTCGTGTGTCCGTAATGACCGTACGATTGCAGGCGTAACAATAGGATCATTATATGAATTAATTATCTGAATAATTAAGTTACTAAAACTTTATACAATATAATACATTTATAATAACATGGGTATTTATTTCTAGTAATATAATTAATATTATTTTATATTTGTATAAATGTTTTATTTAACTTACAAAACATTGTATTTTATTGACAGTGCTTTGAATAGGGCGGCTATGGGTCCGCACACATACTCGTTGTCCATATAGTTGGTACGAATAACGGGCAATAAATCAACCATAATAAATGCTACTATACTTGTATAGTTGAATGTTGAATCATTATTTCCTATAGGTGCTTGTTCATTTATTAAAATACAATCATTTATGTTCAATAAATACTTCATTTTGTCTGTTTGTATCATAGAATATGAGGCAAACAATAGATGCCCAGAATTTAAATGCTATTTATTAATACAATTTATTCATTATAGAAGTAAAAGTTTAGTAATTTTCTATTATTAAAAATATTATGATTAAAACATTGATAATAATACCTGATATTAAATAATGAAAATTATTTCATAACATATTTTCATTTTTTGTGTTAGTATTAAGATATATAAAATACTACACAATATTAATCTAATTTATTTTAATTAATACAAAACATGTTTTTAATAATAATGAAATTAATTGACAAAAATGTTATATATCTAAAATATTACTAATGTTATTGTTACTAATATTACTAGCACAATTAACACTATATTTACAGTATTAATACATAAATATTTATCTGAATTTATATTTAATTTTTAAATAGATATTCAATAAATGGAAAAATAATTTTATTATATTTAGTCGCAAACAATGCCATAATATGCGATAAATTGTCACTAAATAAATAAACTTGTTAATATATTTTCAATACAATTACATTATATAACTGACCGATTATATCATATTTAATCATCAATTCAATGATAAATACAATGATTGCAAACAACAGTTTAAATAGACAGGAGTAGATAATATCTGCGATGTAAAACACAGTAATCTCCACGTATTTCACCATGCGAGTATCCAAATCACCGGCCAATAGCTCAGTATTGCCCACATATCTCATGAGTCGGGTCTTCCAGTTCTCGTATAGACCAGATTCTCTGGACCGCAAAATACTATCATGATCAAACAAATTAATTTAACAATTTAACATGATAAACAAATTAATTTAACAATTTAACATGATAAACAAATTAATTTAACAATTTAACATGATAAACAAATACTGTACTTATGATAGTGACTATACAAATTAATTAACATACATTTTATCCAACAAACGATGTATGTTATGATCCATTCTATTGGAAAAGGCCATAAAATAGGGCTGTTGTCCGCCGCCATCGCTAGATATATAAAACTGTTTTAACAATTTGTTGCTATCGTTGGACAACAAAAACAGATTCATAATTAGCGTCAATCTGTCGGTTACATAAGCCGATTGTCCACTCAATAGACGCTCAAAGTTGTCTTTCCGGTACGAGTCGGTGGTCTCGGGCTTACGGGTACTCAGTCTCGACCTGAAGTTCAGTGCCATCGTTGTGTTCACCGAGTTTGAATATCTGGCCAATGGGTTAGTTTCGGCCACAATTATTTGCACCTCAGGCCTGCCCTCCAAGTCATGCCACGAGTTGATCACCAAATCGGGCACCGGTTCTACCATATAATCCAATAATAATGTGCAAAATATGGTTAGTATTAGCACTTCTAGTAGGAGCCAAAAAGTGATCAGGGTCTTAACGACCGAATTGTTTGTGTTGATCGCTTTAGGCGTTGATTTTGAGAAGTACAATAACAAAATATGGTAAACATTAAAGAAAAATTGTCGCAAATCTCGGTTAATCGCTGTTATGAGTGTCGATACAATTAACAAAAGTATTGTCAATAAAATCCAAACACTTTTTTGAAAGCATTGAAAATATGTTAATACGGGTTGAGTGCCTCTCATTATCTTATAGGCAATACTTCCATAATCGCTGAAATCAATGGCAATTGTATGCAAAACAGTGATATTGAATGAAACTAACTCTTCATTATAGTAAACTAAGTTATAAGCGTTTGCGTCCATTAGACATAGATCGGGCATTTTTCCCTCCATTATGTGTAAAAAATCATCCAGGCTAAAGGGGATTCCAGGTATTTTAATCCTATTTATAAATAAAATGGTGTAAATTAATTAATACCAACATTAATTTAAATAAAACGTTTATGTATACAGTACATGATGTTTTCTCTGGTGCTTAACTCCTTTAATAACATTACTAATGGACCGCAAATGAAGCCGTTTAGCATAATGTTAGGCATTGTTATTATGGGCACAATTGAGATGCAATGAGAGCTGGAATTGTCCGGACATTGTCTACCGTTTCCAATATAATCGGAAACCTGTAGGCAATCCTTTGCTGTCATTTTTATTAACTTTAATATACAGTAATTTACAGTACTATAGAATAATTAACTATTAATTTATAACGAGAAAAATATTTTTGATCTATTAATACTGTATATTGAATATAACTTTATTTTAATTCAATTTTTAATTTATTTAATTAAAAGTGGTAAAGATTGAAATTGTGAATAATACAGAAAGAGTCCAAGTAAAATATATTTTTATAGTAATTAAATCAATATTAATAAGACATTATGTATCTGTATATGTATAAGATAATTATTATAATAGAATATTAATATTTTATTGCATAATATCTATATTTTATATTGATCAGTTTACAAATGTTATATTTTCAAAAGAAATAACTAGAGTATATATTTCTATTTAAATAAATATTTTCCATGGATATGTACAAAACTGTAGTCAAACAAATCACGTAATTATAAATGCAATTTAGTCAGAGAAAATTTAAAAACAAAATTTTTGTTATATGAATGCAACAAATAAAGCGTTTTGTAATAAACTTAATTAATTTTATTTTAAAAAACAATTAATAAAAAGTTACAATTTAGTAAATTAATTTCATATATAACTGAAATGTAAAATCTAGGTAAATAGTCTATATAATTGTACATATTTTATAAAGATCAATATAAAATATAGATATTATGCAATAAAATATTAATATTCTATTATAATAATTATCTTATACATATACAGATACATAATGTCTTATTAATATTGATTTAAT